ATCTCTCCTTGATAAGGAGAGGCGTAAACTAGATATGCTGGGAAGAAAGGTAAATACATCGGCAGCCTTGGGTCTCCATATTGCCAATTTCAAGGCAAGAATGGGGTGTTACCAGATGTTTCTCTGGGTGAAGATCAGTGTGTCCCTCTAAGCTGTGCTAGGGGGCGCTGGTGCACAGAAATTTAGCTGGCTGCTCAGAGATGCTAGCTTCCAGCTCACAGGCATTTTACCCTCCATTAGAAACAATGGAGGATGGGGACATAGAATTGGACCGGGTGGGCCAATCTCTTTGAAACTTGGGGGGGGGGGTGTTGAGGAGAGGCTATGCTACAAATTTGGTGCCTCTACCTCAAAAAACAGCCCCACCCAGAGCCCAAGATACCCCCAGATCGATTCTCCATTATAGCCTATAGGGACCATTGACTATAATGGTCCCCATAGGCTATAATGGAGGAGGGGGGAAATCAATTTTTTTTTTGCACACCCCTATTATGCTTTACAGTATGATTTGTAAGATGCCTTGAGTCACAGGGAAAAGTGGGATATAAATATTTGAATAAATAAGTAGTTTGGGCAGGTTGATAACATTTAAGCAACTTCCTATTTGCTAGGTTAGGCAGGGTTCTAGCAGTGATTATTCCACCTCTGTTAAACTTGACCTGTAAATTTGTCATATCTCACTGGGGAAAAACCCCAAAGTAGACTGCAGGAGCCCCCCCCCTCCCCAAGTGCTGGTATGTTTTTTAAGGCTCAGTGCAGGGCAATGGTCTGAGGTCAGGTCTACCAGTATAGTGCTAAGGGAAGAGTAGACATGTTCTCCAGAGGCCAGGTCTACCAATATGGTGGAATGGGAGACCTGGCCTCCGGAGGCCAGGCCTATCAATATAGTGGAAAGGGAAGGGCAGAACTGTTCTCTGGAGGCCAGGCCTACCAATATAGTGCAAAGGGAAGGGTACAGCCCACATACGAGACCTGTTAAAGCATATCTTTATCTCTTGAGTATATTTCTCAAATTCGTAACAAGGTGGCAGAAGCCTTTCTGACCAATCATTATCTCCAGAAGGGGCAGAAAGAAGATGATCTTAAATACACAGTGTTATATGTCTCAAGAGCAGAGGTCAGTTCGGGGGGGAACGCGGGGGAACACAGTTCCCCCGGGTGAGGTGCAGGGGGGCGGGGCACATGATGAAGCCCCGCCCCCTGCTTCCGGCCGCCCCGCTTCCAGCCCTCATTCAGCCAGGAGGAGGCAGGAGAAGAGGGAGGGTAAGTTACTTCCTCACCGCCTCTCCCCACCCCTGCCCCTTGGTGGGGCTTCCTCGCACTCCCGCTGGCCTTGCAGGTCCACCGCCGGGCCCCTGATGTCAGGGGGTGTGGCATATGCTAATGAGTTATGCTAATGAGTTCCCCTAGCTCTTTTTCTACGAAATGACCCCTGCTCAAGAGCCAAGGATGACAATGTCCATAGGGACCTTCTGAAACAAGAAGCTAGGTGGATATCTAGATGAAAATCCTTGGCTCCTGACAGTCTTAACTCAGAGTTAGATTTAAGCTGTTTTGTCTCAGGAAACTGCCATCATGTTTAGGACTCCTCTTATACACTTTTTCTTAAAGATATCAGTCTTGGAGGGGTTCAATTTAGAATTGTATTTTTCAACGATAACTAATTCATGATTACACTGTAGCAAGAATCTATTTTATTCCATGACTAAATGCAGTTAATGGACTATATACTGTCGCAAGAATTCCTTTTATCTGTATGTTTGTAAAAACCAGTATAAATGCATTCCTTTTCTTGGAGGATGGCATATCTACATAATATGTCCTAAGTTGTTTCATAATCGTGATCAGGTGTTTGGAAACACAGCCTCATCTCTCCAAGCAGGCAATGTGTAACATGGAGATATAAATTGTATTAACATTTAAAGGAGGTGCAGCACTGACAAGAAAAGTTTTGGCAATTATTGCTGATTTGGAAACCTAGGACTGACCACCCATCCTTAATTGGATGAACCTTTGAAGCTTGCATTTGGGAAGCCCAGGTCTATGTTTGGGCAGGAGCGCACAGGAACGGAGTGCCGGCTGGCTCCCAAGTTGGCCACGCCCAGCAGGAACTCATTAGCATAACAGGCCACACCCAACACCAGAAACTCATTAGGATTGGCTAAATTAGGGGTGTGTGGCCTAGCATGCAAAGGAGTTCCTGCTACAAAAAAAGCCCTGGGTTTTGACAACAAACAAGGTAACAGAATAACAAGCAAAAGGTGGGTGTGGCTGGATGACCACACTTCTGATAACACGGGGTGTGGCCTAATATGCTAATAAGCTGTGCTGTCAGGGGTGTGGCCTAATATGCTACTGAGTTCCTGCTGGGCTTTTTCTACAAAAACAGCCCTGTTTGTGAGTATCTGGATGAAATAAGTAGAGAGACGAGTCTGTAGCTTTGGTTAGTACTTTGGATTAATATTTAATAATGCTTGATGAGGCTCTTGGCTCTCAAATATTCCATTATTAGCACGATTTCCCACAAAGCAGCTGGTGAAAAAGGCATCATAGATAGCTGGCCTGTTGGAGTCGTATTTGTGAGCTTTGTGGAAGCACAGAACGGAAGAGAAGTCGGCCGACCACCTCCATCACTTTCAGTTTTCAACAAGGTCAAATCATAGCAAGGATAAGGAAGGCTGCACAAAGGGCAGAGAATTTGATGAAATCACCCCCTGGGTTGCCAGCCTCCAGGTTGGAACACTAAAAGATTCTAATTTTTTTGGTACACAGAAACTGAGATATTAATTGCATCACATAAATTTAATTGTTTATATCATTTGTAATTTTCATCATCTTTCATGCTGTGTACATTTTGTTTGACAGCCTACTTTTATAACCTGGAATTGGCAACCCCAGGCCCTTCGCATTCCATTGTTGGGTAACCGCACTCACTCTTAAAATGTTCTTGGGCTAGTAGATATATGACTGCCTCAGACTGGAGTTCCCATCCCTCATCCTCCCACTAACTTTTACTCTTAATTGTCACCAGGGGTCATTTCGTAGAAAAAGAGGCGGAGGAGCTCATTAGCATAACTCATTAGCACAACTTATTTGCATATGCCACACCCCCTGACATCACCGGAAGTGTGTCAGAAGGCAACGCCCACCACTCAGGCTTCACTGGACTGTTTTGGATTGCTAGCTATTGGGGGGGGGGAGGGAACGTGCAGATCTGTCCTCACAGAGGAGGGAGAGCTTGTACCTGAATAAAACTTGGTCTTAAAGGTGCCACTGACTGTTTTGGACCGGGGGGCGGGGGGGGGGCCTCTGCAGCTTACCTGGCTGCTTCCTGCTCTGACTGAGGGCTGCTGGAGCAGGGGGTGGGGCTTGTTGTATGTGCCCGCCCCCTGGGTTCTTTATTGCCAGAGCTCTGCTCCTGTGCGGTCCTGCAGGAAATGACCCCTGATTGTCACTTTTTACCAGAGGCAAACCCTATTTTCTGGGATTCCTCCCCAGTAAATCTCTGCCCCTGTCCTGCTCCAACTTTGCCTTTTAGGGATGCATTCATAACCCATTAAGTGTGCGCTACCCAGCAATTACGCAGCCAAGTTATGTTACATGCTTGTGACACTTCTTATAGAAGCATAGTAGCCTTGAGAGGCTGCAAGTTTGGTGTGGTAGTTAAGTGCGCGGACTCTAATCTGGGAGAACCGTGTTTGATTCCCCACTCCTCCACTTGCACCTGCTGATGTGACCTTGGGTCAGTCACAAGCTCTGGCACAGCTGTCCTTGAAAAAGAGCAGTTTCTGTCAGAGTTCTCTCAGCCCCACCCACCTCACAGGGTGTCTGTTGTGGGGAGGGGCAGGGAAAGGAGTTTGTAAGCCGCTCTGAGACTCCAAGTGAAGGGCGGGGTATAAATCCAATCTCCTCTTCTTCTTCTTCTTCTTCTAGTCTGGTGAGAAAAGTTGTATGCCACCTCGCCAGAGATGTGCTTGAGGCAGAGTGCAGAGGAACAGCATGAAGTCACGAAGAGTTAAAGGTGATTAAAAATATTTTAATAGCTGAAATTTGTCAAAAACAGAGGACAGAGGGGATATCAAGTGCCACACTCAGGGGCGTAGCCAGGATTTGTAAAGTCAGGGGGCATTTTAAAAATGGGGGGGCATGGGGCAGGCCAGGAGGGAGCCATCTCCACACCCAGGGGTCATTTAGTAGAAAAAGAGGTGCAGGAGCTCATTAGTATAACTCATTAGCATAACTTATTTGCCCCCTGGTAGATCTGTCCTCACAGAGGAGGGAGAGCTTGTACCTGAATAAAACTTGGTCTTAAAGGTGCCACTGGACTGTTTTGGACTGGGGGCCCAGGGGGGGCCCTCTGCAACTTACCTGGCTTCTCCCTGGCTGCTGGGAGCAGGGGGTGGGGCTTGTTACATGTGCCCGCCCCCTGGGCTCTTTACTGCCAGAGCTCCGCTCCTGTGCGCTCCTGCAGGAAATGACCCTTGGCCACACTGTGATTTATTACGCGGATGAAAACCAGGAGACGGGTGTGTGTGCTGGATTGACCCCCCCATCCTGCCACTGCCACCACTTTGCTTCTTTCCTGTGCCCTGTCTGGCAGCGTCCCGTCTGGTGATGTGGGAATGGAGGGCGGAGCTGGCCAGTGAGGTTGTGGGGTGACGGCAGGGGCGGGACTCCAGTAGGCAGGCGTGGTGAGAGCGATAGCACCACAGCACAAGAAAAATAAAATAAGGGTTTTGGGGGGAGATTCTGCAGTTTACACTAATGGTGATTTTAGATGGGGTTCATATAACCTTTGCTAATCCAGTTTATAAATTACATAAGCAATGACATGTGGGTCACTCCCATGATTTTAGATGGTTTGCCACATATAGAAAGTACTCAAACCTTGAGATTCAGAAGACAATTCCCTTGGAATTTCTCCTATCTTGCCTGCTAAGTTATTTAGCAGGATGCCAAATAAGTGATGGATGCTGAATGTGAACACAGTTGCTGTAAACTCACAGGCTGACTTGGCAGGATTTCCTTCCAAGAGAATTCATCGCTGTGCACCGATAGGAGCCTTCTTCAAAATCTGCCAGGTGACTCAGAACCAAGACACCAGTTTTGGGATCTGTGACAAAATGGGAGGCAAATCCAGGTTTGGAAGTACACGCCCCATGTGGCCGCAATCCAAATGCCCGTGCTTGACTTCATGATTACAGACCCCACATTACACCACAGACCACGCCAACATTATTTACTTGATCAAAAGAACAAAATTTGAGTCCAGTGGCACCTTTAAGACCAACAAAATTTAATTCTGGGCACTTGTGTGCATGCACATGCAAGCTGACCCAGAATTAAACTTTGCTGGTCTTAAAGGTGTCACCGGACTCCCAACTTTGTCCTATTGCTTCAGACCAACACAGCTACACAGCAGAATCTTACTTGATCGAAATTAGCCAAGAAAACACTTGGGAGATCTAGTCCAGTTAAGAACTCCTCCCCCAAAGAAACTTCGTTTAAAATTTTTGCAGCATTAAAGAAATACTTCCTATGACTCATTGATAGGATCCAATTTTGGTTGAATAATGGGCTTATCATTATTAATTAACTAATAAAAGAGCAAAAAATCAAGGCAGAGAGAGCCTGTACCTCAAAGTGCTTCACCTTCACAAGCTCACAGCTCTTTACCAGCTCCTCTGTCTTTTCCAAGTTGAATTTCTGACCGTACCCCCCACAATCCCTTCAGATAGGAGAAGGTCACCTCCGACAAACTCTGTTTGTTGTTGTTCAGTCGCAGTCGAGTCCGACTCTTCGCGACCCCATGGACCATATCACGCCAGGCCTTCCTGTCTTCTGCCGCCCTCTGAAGTTGGCTCAATTTCATGTTTGTTACATCGATGACACTGTCTAACCATCTCATCCTTTGCTGTCCCCGTCTTCTTTGACCTTCAGTCTTTCCCAGCATCAGGGTCTTCTCCAGTGAGTGCTCCTTTCTCATTGGGTGGCCAAAGTATTTGAGCTTCAGTTTCATTATCTGGCCTTCCAGGGAACAGTCAGGGTGGGTGGCTTTTAGGACTGACTGATTTGATCTCCTTGCAGTCCAAGGGATTCTCAAGACTGGAGAAGGAAATGGCAACCCACTCCAGTATCTTTGCCAAGAAAACCCCATGGACAGTAACAAAAGACAAACTCTGACAGGGACTCAAACAGAACGATCGGGGACCAACTCCTAACAATTAGGGCCCATGAAAGAATGTCCGTGCCCCCCAGCTCCCGGTCTCCTCAAGGTGTGCCCATTTAGGCCCATCCCACGCACAGGAATTAGACCCAGAAGACTGTATGACATAGAGCAGGGGTCATTTCGTAGAAAAAGAGCTAGGGGAACTCATTAGCATAACTCATTAGCATATGCCACACCCCCTGACATCAGGGGCCCGGCAGTGGACCTGCAAGGCCAACGGGAGTGCGAGGAAGCCCCGCCAAGGCCCTCCCTTGCCCCAGGCAGGCAGGGGTGGGGAGAGGCGAGGAGGAAGCAACTTACCCTCCCTCTTCTCCTGCCTCCTCCTGGCTGAATGAGAGCTGGAAGCGGGGCGGCCGGAAGCAGGGGGTGGGGCTTCGTCATGTGCCCCGCCTCCCTGCACTTCACTCGGGGAACTGTGTTCCCCCGCGTTCCCCCCCGAAATGACCTCTGACGTAGAGGAACCAGGGAATATTACTCACTATATGGCTCTGTCACAGGCGTGATGGTGTCCCCAGATATTTTTTGCCACTGATACGTAGGCGCAGGCAGCCCGTCCTCGGAAAAGCAGTGCAGGGAGACGCTGCTGCCCGACTCGGGTGTCCCAAGAGAGCTGCAGTGAGGCTGGGATGGCGGGGCTGGAAAACCGTCGATGGCAACAGAAACGGGAAATGAGAGATCAGTCACAGATGAAATCCGACTGGACCGACATCATCCATATTATTCCCGTAAGTAATTTTTATCCGTCTTCCACAGTTTTATCGCCCACCCTTCTGCCAAGGAGCTCAGGGCGGAGTGCAAGATCATTAGGGTTGCCAACCTCCAGGTGGGGCCTGGAGACCCCCTGAAGGAAACGGCTGGTTATTGGTGCAAAAATGTATTTGTGTGCATAGGTCTCAGAAAGGTTTTGTATTAAGAATAACAAACTATGATTTATTAGTTACAAATCTGTAAGATTAGATTACAGTGTTAAAAGGAGTAGATCCATAGGAACTGTATGTTTATAAATGAGGATGATTTATAGGAAATGTATGTTTATAATTAATCCAGTAGTAGATAAAAGATAAAATTATTTAGTCTGGGTTACAGGTTTAGTTAGAGCGTGAAATTCAGTTAAGATAGGGTTTAGGTTCTAAAGGTAATGCAAATTGGGCTACAGTACTTGATATAAATTGTTAGTAAGGTTGAGAATAAGAAATGAATTTCTAGTGAAGTACGCTATTTGATTGACGTGATGCTTTGTGTTGTTGAAAAGGGGAAATGTTTGGTTTTCTGTTATATGTCGGGTGTGTGTGGTGGTGGTGTGTAGATGCGTGATGTTTAAAAGTGTGGAACATAATAAAAAGTACTAAAAAAATAAATAAAGGATAGGTACATTCCAACTGAAGCAACTTTACTCATGAAGGATGTAGCATTGTTATACACTAACATTCCACACAATGAAGCACTCCTAGTTATAGAAAAGATAGTTAATTTACATGAATATTTACTACCCCCTACATGTTTTAATAGAACTGGCTGAGCTTATTCTGGAAAAGAATTATTTTAAATTTAATGGGGAATTCTATTTTCAAATGAGAGGCATGGCAAGGGAGAGTGCGTTTGTCCCCAGCCCTGCAAACTTCTTCAACTGACTATCCCCTTACTTAGGGTGGCCAGCTCCAGGTTGGGAAGTACCTGGAGATTTTGGGGATGGAGCCTGAGGAGGGGGGGGAGGGGAGGGGAGGGGCTCCAAGCGGTCTAATGCCATGGAGTCCGCCCTCCACAGCAGCCATTTCTTCCACGTGAACTGATCTCTGCCACCTGGAGCTCAGTCGTAATATCAGGAGATCTCCGATCACCACCTGGAGGTTGGCCACCACACCTCTACGTATGTATTTACTAATTACAATATTTCCACCCTGCTTTTCCTCTTGGCTTGAAGTGGAGCTTACTGTTTGTTAAAGTGGCTCAGGGGTAGGGTTGCCAAGTCGGAATCCAGCCGCAGCGGGGGAGTTTTCCCTCAGATGACCGTGGCCCCGCCCCCAGCGTGCCCGGGGTTGTCACGTCACTTCCGGGTGACGTGCACGTCAGGGTGGAGTTCCCCCTGGGGCCCAATCCACCGGCGACAGGGAACGGGCCTCTGGGGCGGGGGTTTCCCCGCCCCCCGGGGGGACTTGGCAAGCCTACTCAGGGACATAGGGCTGCCAGCTCCAGGTTGCGAAATTCCTGGAGACTTGGGGGTGGAGTCTAGGAAGGATGAAGTTTGGCCCTCAGCGGGGTACAATGCCATACACTCCACCTTCCAAAGCGGCCATTTTCTCCAGGGGAATTGATCTCTAAAGTCTGGAGGTCAGTTGTAGTCCTGGGAGGTGTCCAGGCATCCCCTGGAGGTTGGCAACCGTTCAAAGGCATCCCTTTTGATCAGGGCCCCCGGCAGTTGCTTTCTACGGCTCAACGATCAGTCAAGGGTTCCAGACGTAGAACTTCTGTGTGACAGATACACTTCTACAAAGGGCATTATCATGAGCGAAACATACAGCTCAGCCTTAGGAAGCGATTTACCCCACTGCAGATTCCACCTGGGCCAGGTGGGGAGAGGAGAAGTTTCCGGCTCTGCCTTAGCCTTCTCTCTTCTCCTGGTAGCAGAAGTCTCAAGGCCACATTTCATGCCAGGTTCCACCATGTTACTCCCTCCACGTTGCCTTCTAGGGACACCAGCCTCCAGGTGGGACCTGGGAATCTAATGGAATTACAGCTCCCCTCCAGAGTACAGAGATCAGTTCCCCTAGGAAAAATCGATGCTTCGGAGGGTGGACACTATGGCAGCATACCCCACTGTGGTCCCTGGCCTCCCTAGGCTCCATCCCCGAATCTCCAGGAATTCCCCGTCCTGGGTCGCCCCCCCCCCCCCTTTCCCCCCCCGCCAATGGCCAAGGGTGACCCAGCAGCCCTGCTCCCTTCAGAACAGCAACAGCTACTACCGTTTTGCACCGTTACACTATATGACAATTGTGGCTGTGGGGAATTATAGCTTTGGGGAAAGTGCAGAAAAGGGCAACTAAAATGATAAAAGGGTTGGAACACTTTCCCTATGAGGAAAGGTTAAAGCGCTTGGGGCTCTTTAGCTAGGAGAAAAGACGACTGAGGGGTGACATGATTGAGGTTTACAAGATTATGCATGGGAAAGAACAGGTAGAGAAAGAGGTACTTTTCTCCCTTTCTCACAATACAAGAACTCATGGGCACTCCATGAAATTGCTGAGCGGTCGGGTTAGAACAGATAAAAGGAAGTACTTCTTCACCCAAAGAGTGATTAACACATGGAATTCACTGCCACAGGAAGTGGTGGCGGCTACAAGCATGGACGGCTTCAAAAGGGAATTAGATAAGCATATGGAGCAGAGGTCCATCAGTGGCTATTAGCCACAAGGTATAG